CTGTACTTCTCTGGATCACAGGAGTGAAGTTTGTTCTGCACTCCTGTGACCGTTTTCAGCTGACAGCGGGCTGAAGCCACATTCAGAGGCACTCACCCAGTCCAGGCTGGGGAAAGTCAGGATCCACCCCAGAGTCTGGAGCGGCACCAAGGCTTAGCCTCACAGTGAGCTGCTGAGAGCCTGAGCCAGCCACTCCCTCCCCCTGCATAGCCCAGGTCCCCAGTGACCGCTGGGGGGGGGGGGGGGGGGGAGGGGGGCAGAGTGGACAGCGGTGACTGACAGTCACCATTCTCTGGGGGTGAGAACTCAGCAATCAGCGGTCATGTGATCACCGAGTTCTCACACTTCGAGCCAGCAGGGGACAGATGCAACATCTGACTGATTCTGCATCCACCTAGGTATGTATAAATGGGGGAAAAATAAAATCCACATTTCTCTTTTAAGTGAATTGGAAAAAATGGAGGCAGCTAGCATCTTTTCTTCATGGAAAACTAAGCAGTTTATGAACAGCTACACTATGTGTGCATTCCAACAAGAATAATGTTCTTTTGGTTCCTTGCCATGGATAGAGGGAAACATTTCACTCCAAAACAATGGGAATATACTATAGGCAAGACAACCTGCATAGTTTACATGTTGCGATGCCCTTGTGGCAGACAGTCATCAGACACATTAAGACATGCATAGCATAACAACTGTACATAGTCTCAAGAAAGGGTACACAACTCATCTCACTGTTCTTATGCATAGTAGAGACCAGAGTGGATTAAAATTTTGGGGAATACAAAAAGTGGTGAATATTGGAAGAGGACTAATTTAGTGAGGGAGATGATGTATATATCAGATAAAATCTAAAAATATTAAAGCACTATGAAAAATTAAACCAACAAAAAAAATGTAATAAATTGCAGCTTACAAATTCTTAATGTGAAAATTTAAGTGTAATTTTGTAGTGCGACACATTTTTCATTCTCAATGCTTTTGTTTTCTAAAAGGAGACTGGATGTTTAACAAAACTCTTCCAAAGACACTAAAACACATGCAAATTGTTTAACATGCATTTTTGGTGGGTTTCCATTAAAGTCTATGGAGCCAAACTTGTGCTGCTCCAGCACTAAAGTACACTATATTGCCAAAAGTATTAGGACGACTGCTTTTACATGCATGTGAACTTTAATGGTATCCCAGTCATAGACCCTGGGGTTCAATATTGAGCTAGCCTACCCTTTGCAGCTATAACAGCTTCAACTCTTCTGGGAAGGCGGTCCCCACAAGGTTTAGGAATGGGTCTATGGGAATTTTTGACCATTCTTCCAGAAGTGCATTTGTGAGGTCAGGCACTGGTGTCAGCTGAGAAGCCCTGGCTCGCAGTCTCTGCTTTAATTCATCCCAAATGTGTTCTGTCGGGTTGAGGTCAGGACTCTGTGCAGGCCAGTCACGTTCCTCCACCCCAAACTCACTCATCCAAGTCTTTATGGACCTTGCTTTGTGCACTGGTGTGCACTCATGTTGGAACAGGAAGGGGCCATCCCCAAACGGTTCTCACAAAGTTGGGAGCATGAAATTGTCCAAAATGTCTTGGTATGCTGACGCCTTAAGAGTTCCCTTCACTGGAGCTAAGGGGCCAAGCCCAACCTCTGAAAAACAACCCCACACCATAATCCCCCCTCCACCAAACTCTACACTTGGCACAATACAGTCAGGCAAGTATCGTTCAACTGGCAACCAGACATGTCTATCGGATTGCCAAACAGAGAAGTGTGATCTCACTCCAGAGAACACATCTCCACTGCTCTAGAGTCCAGTGGCGGCGTGCTTTACACCACTGCATCTGATGCTTTGCATTGCACTTAGCGATGTAAGGCTTGGATGCCGCTGCTCGGCCATGGAAACCCATTCCATGAAGCTCTCTACGCACTGATGCTGTGCTAATCTAAAAGGCCACACAAAGTTTAGAGGTCTATAGCTGCAGACAGTTGGCCACTTCTCTGCACTTCAGCATGTGCTGACCCCGCTCTGACATTTTACGTGGCCTACCACTTCGTGGCTGAGTTGCAGCTGTTCCCCAGTTGCTTCTACTTTGTTATAATACCACTAACAATTGACCATGGAATATTTAGTAGAAAGGAAATGTCACAGATGGCCTTATTGCACAGGTGGCAACCTATCATGATACCACGCTTGAATTCACAGAGCTCCTGAGAGTGACCCATTCTTTCACAAATGTTTGTAGAAGCAGTCTGCATGCCTACGTGCTTGATTTTATACACCTGTGGCCATGGAGATGATTGGAACACCTGAATCCAATGATTTGGAGGAGTGTCCCAATACCTATGGCAATATAGTGTAGCACCTGTACCATTTCCAAAACTAAAAACTGCTCTGATGTGAACGGACACCACTGAAAACAGTGCGTTCTCCATTACCGTGCAATGCTGTGAGACAGCAGTCACATCTCAAATTACATCAGTGTGAATGGGGCGGTGCTAAAGGTGACCATGCACTATACAATCTAACTGTACTATTTCCTTAAAATGGTTGTAAACCTCAGACATGAACTATGAACAAAGCATACTGTATACCTCTAGTATGTACTTGTCTCAATCCAGAGCGCCAAGTGTTATTTCTGCCTTGTTCTTCTGCCATTAGCATGAGTCACTTCTGATGAGTTTTCCTGACACCAAGAGAAAAATGGTGACAGGGGAGGGCACAGCTTGTGACTGACAGCCTCAGGCATGTTCCTGTGTGAATGGTGGTGTGTCCCTTTCCTCCAATAACCTCTCCTCACGGATTTAACTGCAGCTCCCATCCCCTAGTTTTCAGAACTTAGAGATTCTGTGTAAAATTCTGCAGTTTGAATGGATGTAGAGGACAGATGACTGTAGATAAACAGGTACAACTTATGTAGGAGGATTTGTTTCATCTCTGTGTATCACTTGAGGCCAATCTCTTCACTGTGTATATGTAAGGTTTCACAACCACTTTAAATCCCAACTCCAGGTAAATAAAATTATCTCTTGCAGTGGGGCTGTGCTCGCACTGCAAGAGTTAAATTGCCTAGGGGGATAAAAAAGTGAAGAAGATTTACTTACCCAATCCTCTGCTCCTCCCTGCACCAGACTGGTCCCACAGTGCCTGCATCATCATGCTTCACTGGTCTAGGATCCTGACATCATCAAGATCAGAGCTGGGTCCATAGCCCTACACTGGATATGATAATGCAGAGGGACAGTCCACTGCCATAGGGTGGGCACCATCTGCTGAGATAGCAGAGGATCAGGTCTATCCCTTAGACAAAATGAGAAATTAACACTTGAGCATTTGGGTGGCAGAAATGAAACTCTCTGTGGCTGCATGAAGAAGCACAGGATCTGGCAGGAGGAGTTCTGTCCTCCTCTCTGCTGCCAACTGCTGAGACAAGGTGGGGGTGTTTGACACGTGTGTTGTAGTGCAAGGGCCTGCCTTCTTTGAAACAAAAGGAGTAGATTATTTAGGTATGTCCTCATCACATAGTTGATAGATCTAGAAGGAGACTATACAGTCTGATTGTATAGTGTATGGGCAGCTTTTAGTTTGCCATCCTTTTCTGCTCTCCTTTAACAGGAATAGATCAGTATGAGGTGTGAAAAAAATGATTTCAGTAAATATATTTGTTTATGCCCAAGGCCACAGTGACAGGGCACATATAGCCCCAGGCTGCTCACAGGGCAGCAGAATATTAGAGCAGCTCTCCCACTGAAATGAGAGGTGACAGGCATCACTGCAGCTACAGCTGACCAGCCAATCTACAACGTCACTTTTTCCAGTCACGATGGAAAAAGCAGGTGGTCAAAGCTCAATTTCTTGGAAAAGAGGTTTAATTTTTTTTTTTTTTTATGCCAACCGGAATTTATAAAAACTAAACAAAAAAAACAAAAACCTTCTTAACTTTCAGTTCACCTGTGTGTGCATATTTGTCTGATCTGCAAAGAATCATGTTGTTCACAAAGCCTGACCGTCTGGATTCCATTCCTTTCATTCTGTACTATTTAAAAGCTTTTCAACAATTCCTGCTCAACACACACACACACAATAACCACGTGATCTCAGATTTTTCAACCAACCAATCTATACATGCTTCAGATCCTCCAGTGATCACCCTACATTACATGCTATAGCTTTTGTCATAGTTGTCATTTCCTTTCAACTTCCAGTGCATTAAATTCTAATAGATGTTCATTCCAAGGAATCCTATTCATAGAACAAAAGTTGGAATTCTAGAAAGATTAGCTTTCAAAAGATTGCTATAGCCAAAAAAAAAAAAAAAAATTAAAAAATAATCTGTACTGTACTGGGAAAACTAGGACACGATGGCTAATGTGGAGCACGATTCCTCAGCCTGTCGTACATGTACCCCCGGGGGTGCCTGAGATAGATGCAGCAAACCTTTCAAATTAACTCCAAATAAAATCTCTTTAGTACACGGTATGAAAAAAAAACCATAAAAAAAAAAAATAATAATCTACCTATCAGACTTATTCTCTGCAAACACAATTCTCTGTAAAGTTTGTTTTATAAAATAAAAGTTAAGAACATTCATTTTTTTAAACAAACTTTACTGAGTATTTCAATATTATTTTACACTTAAAAATTAAAAAAAATAAAATAAAAAAAATAAAATACGGAAGGAAAAAAAAAAAAAACCTATATTTTCCACCCCCTTGTATTTAATTTATAAAAATGTATGTTATTTTTCCTTCTTCCCTCTCCTGTTTATATCTGTAACACAATGTTGAAATATGCTCTGTAAAGTCAGATAGTAAGAATTAAAATAAAATAATATTTTATAAAATACACACACACACACACACACACACACACAACACACACATTTGATGAGTGACCTAGATTGTAAAAGGAACAAGCCATTGGAAGATTTATTAGGTGACTATGAGCAGTGTACAGTCCATTGAACTCCTGATGACATACAGTCCATTGATCCCCTGACCACATACCAGTCCATTGAACCCCTGACCAGGGGCGGACTGACAACTCATGGGGCCCCGGGCAATAGGGGATCATGGGGCCCCTGTGCCCTTGCCCAAACTCAGAAAAGTCTATGAAAAAAAAAACAAAAAGCGTACCAGGGGCATCTCATGGGGCCCCTACTGACCCCGGGCCCTCAGGCAGTGGCTGAGTTTCCAAATGGTCAGTCCGCCCCTGCCCCTGACCACATACCAGTCATTGCACCCCTGACCAGGAGCGGACTGACCATTTGGAAACTCGGGCATTGCCCTAGGGCCCGGGGTCAGTAGGGGGCCCCATGGGATGCCCTTGGTACCTTTTTCATAGGCTTTTTTGAGTTTGGGCAAGGACACAGGGGCCCCATGATCCCCTATTGCCTGGGGGCCCCATGAGTTGTCAGTCCGCCCCTGCCCCTGACCACATACCAGTCCATTGCACCGCTGACCACATACGGTCCATTGACCCCCCTGATCACGTACGGTCCATTGACCCCCCTGATCACGTACGGTCCATTGACCCCCCTGATCACGTACGGTCCATTGACCCCCCTGATCACGTACGGTCCATTGACCCCCCTGATCACGTACGGTCCATTGACCCCCCTGATCACGTACGGTCCCCCTGATTTAACCCCCCCTGATCACGTACGGTCCATTTAACCCCTGATCACGTACGGTCCATTTAACCCCTGATCACGTACGGTCCATTTAACCCCTGATCATGTACGGTCCATTTAACCCCTGATCACGTACGGTCCATTTAACCCCTGACCACATACATTGAAAGGGCATTCCCACACATGTATAAGAGGCCATGCAGTGTGCCGGTAGGTGCCCCCATGGATCGTACTGACCTGGGTGGAGGTGAAGGCTGCCATGCCGCGCTCGCAGTGCTCTTTGTCTCGGGTGGATAGTTCAGTGTGATAAGGTAAAGTTGGAGAATCAATAACACTAGTCCGGGCTGGATCCCGCCCCGTGCAGAGTGCGGCTGGCAGACTGCACGGAGGAAGCAGGGGCTCAGGATGACGCCACCAGGAGGACACCCAAGTACCTGGTGATAGAAGAACGGAAGAGAACTTTGATCTGCTGGGAGGAGGGGGCGGCCGGCTGGCTGGCTGTGTCCCCTGACTTGTACACACCTGATGTGTCATGTACTGATCTCCTCTGTGTGTTCATTAGGAGCGGAGCGCACCGTCCGGACCTGTCACCCCCGAGCTCCTGTCCGCCTGCCTGCCTGCCGTGCTCCCCTAGTCCTGGAGGTGATCACAGGAACATCCGACTGTCTGTCCTCTATAGGGAGCGTGCTCCGACCAACACTGCTCTACATTACTCCTACTGACATGAGCTACAATCACAGGAACAAATACATGCCGACTGTGCTGAACACAACACTGAGCTCTACATACAGAGGACAGAGACCGAGCCCCAGCAGGGGCAGAGAGGGCTCGGGCACCGAGCCCCAGCAGGGGCAGAGGGGCTCGGGCACCGAGCCCCAGCAGGGGCAGAGAGGGCTCGGGCACCGAGCCCCAGCAGGGGCAGAGAGGGCTCGGGCACCGAGCCCCAGCAGGGGCAGAGAGGGCTCGGGCACCGAGCCCCAGAATGGAGAGGACAGAACCACAGAAGGGACAGTGAGGGGTCAGCCAGAGCCCCAGAATGGAGGACAGAGAGCGCCCCAGAATAGACAGAGGGGGACAGAGAGAGTGCCCCAGAATAGACAGAGCCCCAGAATGGCCAGAGATAGCAGAGAGGTGACAGCACCCCAAAATGGACAGAGAGAGGACAGGGATCAAGCCCCAGAATGGACAGGGATCGAGCCCCAGAATGGACAGAGAGGACAGGGATCGAGCCCCAGAATGGACAAGGATCGAGCCCCAGAATGGACAGGGATCGAGCCCCAGAATGGACAGGGATCGAGCCCCAGAATGGACAGGGATCGAGCCCCAGAATGGACAGGGATCGAGCCCCAGAATGGACAGGGATCGAGCCCCAGAATGGACAGGGATCGAGCCCCAGAATGGACAGGGATCGAGCCCCAGAATGGACAGGGATCGAGCCCCAGAATGGACAGGGAGGGGACAGAGAGAGGGCCCCAAAATGGACAGAGAGGACAGGGATCGAGCCCCAAAATGGACAGGGATGGGACAGGGATCGAGCCCCAAAATGGACAGGGATGGGACAGGGATAAAACAGAGATTATACCATACAATGGATAAGGAGGGGACAGGGATAAAACAGAGATAATACCCCAGAATGGATAAGGAGAGGACAGGGATACAGACATTTAGTGGATATTCCTTTTCAGAGCAGATCTTTGGATTGAAACATATCTAGATATTTCATGCTATAGAAATGTGTGCAACATACTTTGTTTTTATAGGAAAAAAAACACATACATATGATTGCAGACATTGAATTGATTGTAAGCTTCCTTTATTTCTGTAATATCTTCTATTCTATAGATTGTAGGCATGTCTATCTTTCATACACAGTCACCATGCACTTTATTAGGTACACCTTGCTAGTGCCAAGTAAATATCCCCCACACCATTACACCACCACCAGCAGCCTGAAGTGTTGACACTAGGCAGGATGGATCCATGCTTTCATGTTTTGCCAAATTTGACCCTACCATTTGAATGTCACAGCAACCAGTCTACCCATTCTCTTCTGACATCAACAAGGCATTTTCGTCCACACAACTGCCGCTTACTGGATTTTTTTCACTTTCTCGGCCCCATTCTCTGTAAGCACTAGAGATGGATGTGTGTGAAAACCCCAGTAGATTAGCAGTTTGTGAAATGGTCAGACCAGCCCATCTGGCACCAACATCCTGGCCACATTCAAGGTCACTTAAATCTCTTTTCTTCCCCATTCTGTTTGGTTTGCACTTTAGCAAGTCGTCTTCCCTACGTTTACATACCTAAAGCATTGAGTTGCTGGCATGTGATTGGCTGATTAGCAGTTTGTGTTACCAAGCAATTGAATAGGTATTTACTTTCTTGTACTTTATAGATTGTTAGCTCATTTATCTTTCATTTCCCTCACACCAAGTGGATTGTAAGCTCTTCTTTGTATATTATCTTCTATTTTAAAGCTTGTATACTTGTCCACCTTTCATATCTATCCCTCAGAAGGCTACTCTACTTGCTGTATGCTAATATTCTATAGCTTGGATGTTGATCTACCTTTCATATCCGATGCATTATAAGCTCCTCTGCTTTCTTTCTTTTGGTCTATAGGTAATTGTAAACTCATCTACTTTTCATAGCCCTCATAACAAATACATTATAAGCTTCTCTGCTTTCTGTATTACTCATTTATACTTTTTAGATTGTTACCTTGTCTACCTTTCTTGTCCCTCATGTTTGATATATTGTGTGCTCCTCTGCTTGCTGTATTCTCTGATATTTTATAGATTGTAAGCTTGTTTACCTTTCATATCCCTCATACCAAATGCAATGTAACCTCTGCTTTCTGTATTCGGCTGTCCAGCTTGAATTGTAGCCAATTCCTGCCAAAATGCAAGCTGCGGTTGGCCCTGTTAGCACCATTCAGCTTAATCTTCAACTGAAAAAAGGAGCCTGCTGGAGAAAAATTAAGCCAAACGGCTGCATCCAATTAGACTCCGTCACTGTTCGGGGATTCTGAGAGCCACAGGTGCCGCAGCTATTTGAATTCAAGAGCTAGCATGGAAAATTCCTCCAACCATGCAGTTTAGCATGGATGGGACAAGTCTTAAACTGGCCATACAGTGTTCGATTTCTTTCATTCAGTCTGCACAATGAAAAATCTGACAGACTCTTGTATTTATGATAAATAGCATGGATGGACAAATCTCTATGCTGGGTTGTTTGAAAACTTTCAAGCAGGCTTCCTCAGGACCAGGATGGGGTCTGCAGGGCAACCCACTAAGCAAATTTCAGCCAGTTCCTCAGGAACCACACAATTTTCTTGGCGTATAGCCAGCTTTATGTGGAGTATATACATTTTTTTTTTTCATTGATGAATGAAAAAGAACTGGCAAAGCCATTGGCTGCAAGTGCTTATGGAATACTGGTTTTCCAGGAAGAATGTACAACAGAAGCCGCCCGTTAGACCTGCTGGACCGGCCAACTTGCCGTACGTGTGTACCAAGCTTACCGCTCTTATACTCTAGAAAAAAAAAACGTAGGTTGTTTATCTTCTGTATCTATCCCACACACCTAATAGATTGTAAGCTCCTCTGCTTTTTGTGTTTACTCTCAAACTCTATAGAGAGTGTAAGCTCAAGCGCCTGTATCTGCCATCACACTCAAATGACTATAGGCTGTTCTGTCTACAGTTTATTTTCAATAAACAAGCTCTTCAGTTTTCCAAGTACATACACTAAAGTATTGGGACACCCCTCCAAATCATTGGACTCAGGTGTTCAATCACATCCATGGCCACAGGTGTATATAATCAAGCACCTAGGCATGCAGACTGCTTCTACAAACAGTTGTGAAAGAATGGATCGCTCTCAGGAGCTCAGTGAATTCAAACGTGATACCATGATGATACCATGGTAGGCTGTCACCTGTCCAGCAAGTCCACCGGTGAAATTTCCTTGCTACTAAATATTCTGCAGTCAACTGCTTGTGGTATTATAACAAAGTGGAAGAAACTGAGAACAACAGCAACTCAGCCATGAAGTGATAGGCCATGTAAAATGACAGATCGGGGGCAGTAAAATGACACAGTGCACAGAAGTCGCCAACTGTCTGCAGAGTCAATAGCTAAAAACCTCCAAACTTTGTGTGGCCTTCAGATTAGCACAACAGTGCATAGAGAGCTTCATGGAATGGGTTTTCATGGCCGAGCAGCTGCATCTAAGCCTTAGGTCACCAAGTGAAAGGCAAAGCGTCAGATGCAATGGTGTAAAGCACGTCGCCACTGCCATATGTAGACACCGCAACCGCCCCTCAAAACCTAAGAAAGTGGCAGGGAGGACTATACAGATGCCGCTGCCACAATGCTTTGCAGCTGCGCCTAATATTTGGCAGGTAGTACACCTACTGAATGTGACCCATTCAAATGAATGGTGCGCCTCTGCAACCTTGTGCAGCACAAACAGTTGTGGTGCAGGCTTTTCAGGGTTAAAGTAGGCAGTGAGAAGGAGACATATTGCCTCCCAGCCAGCTGTCAAGCACCCTCTGAAATGCGATCCGCCACGGATCATTTTTCAGAGGTGTGGCAAAGGTTGCCATCATGAGCCCTAAAGGATCTTTACAATAAAGCAGAATATGGACAGACAGCTAACACTTTGTCTGAGCCCGTCTTAACGCAGAACTTCATACCATTTTCTCCTTGCCAGTGAGGAAAAAAAAAAAAGAAATGCCCAGCCTGGTCAAATGGAGAAAAGTATGACCACTCTCTATGCCCTATTTTTAGTGAGAAAAAAAACAAACTAAACTTTGGTGTTCATAGGTTAGGTAGGGAAGGTGGGGGGGGGGGGGGGGGGGTAGGGGGTGGTCTTGCTACCCCTTTGTCAGCCAAAACAGGAAATTGGGAGCGCAATACATTTCTGGCAGATTAACATTTTTCTGTAGTTGCAGCATTTTTAAAAGTGATCAAACATAGGAAATACGTGCAAGCAATGCAGAGATGTACTGAATGCATTTTTGTTTTTTGGTCTGCTCTGATGTGAATGTACCCCAAGGCTAGGCTCACACCTAAACTTACTAGGAATTCACGTTCCCCCTCACATTTTGGAGCATTTCTGCTCAGAGGATAGGGCAGCCCATTCATTTGAATGGGTGGCCCCACACACAACACCCCCAAAACCTTTTAGCAGGCGGAGCACGGCACTTTTTTTGTAGAGCATTTGCTGGGTGACAAATATTGCACTTGCGGTGCTTTGCGACACGTTCTAGCAATGTAAAGTGTGAATGGAACCTTACTGTCCTGTTACTGGGTTCAGGGGGACCTTTCCATAATTCAAGTCTAGTGACAGGAGTGTTGTCAAAAAATAAACCTTTCTAAACTGCAGAGCATTGTTAGCACTTTCAGATGACTGCATTAACAGTCACATGCAATCATGGTCTGATGTGATTTTCCAGCTAAACCATTCCTAATGAATGGATCCAAAGGAAATATGCACTGGTGATCCTGTTCAACCTTAATATGCATAGCATATGGTAAATTTAGTTTAATGCTGCCTTCACATCAGCTGATTACTATGGTTGCTTATACAATTTCAAGCCTAATCTGGTGATAATCTCCCCTTTATAATAGGGCAATATCTCCTCTGGCCCATAGTTTTCTGATTACATACTGGATGGCTGCAAAGAAAACCCCTCGGTGGCAGTGCATGTGGTCACTATATAGGCCACCATAGATTAGATTTTCCTTCTACAGTCACTAAGGAGAGTGGTATAGTGTTGCAGATTAGAAATAAAACATTTAGCAGAAATGTAATTTTTAAATGCAACAATGTTTATTTTGAGTACAGCTCATTAAGATGAAAGAGGATTAAAGAAAACCATTAAAGAACAAAATTAAATGTTCTTATTTAGAGGACTAACAGAGGCAGTCATTTTCCTAGCTTCGTGAGCCAAGTAAGCAAGCCCTGAAGTATTCATATATTACGTGAAGTTCAAATTTCAGTAAATTACCCTATTTCTGGTGTATGGATGGAGGTATCTGAGTTTTTGTCAATTTCATCACTGGTCAAGGATCATAATATATGTGGGCACCAAATGAACACTTCTGACAGACTTGGCCAGTAGATCTCAGAGTGAAGTCAGTCAGTCAGGTTGGGTTTGTTTTGGTCAATAGTTCTTCCTAAGCAATTAGTTGGTAGTGGTGGACTGTCTTAGAACAGCCATGCATACCTTTGCCACACGAATGTGCACCTGTGTAGCTACTAGCCAGCATTGTTTAGCAACCTACTCAATACGAAGATCCAACTACAATCATATCTATGCCAGTGGTCCTCACCAGAAAAGTGAAACATATAAGTGAAACATATTGAACATAAGTTGATGTTAAATTTGTAGAGCCCTGGTGCCCAACCTGTGGCCTGAGGGCCATGATTGGTCCTAGATGTTCAAAGTGTGGTCTTCAAGCTCCAGCAGTCAATAGTGGGGAGCATTGATTTTTTTTTTTTGTTAAAAAGGGGCCTTTAAAAGAGAAGTATATTTTTTAAAAAACAAAACAGCTATTCTTACCTAGGTGGATGCAGCATTGATCCAATGCTGCATCTGTTCCCCACTGCATCTAAGACGAAGAATTGAGTGATCAAAGAACACCGATTACTCAGTTCTTGGACTTCAGGGAGCAGAGACTCAATCTCCAGCTCTCTTCTCTGGCCCTCCAGCACTCACTGGAACGCTGGGCTGTGGAGGGGGCAGAGAGGGCTGAGCCAGCTACTGGTCCAGGCATCTGGGTGGATCCAGACCAAAATTTAGCTGCTGACGGCTGAAAGCAGGTCACAGGAGTGCAGAACGAACTGCACTCCTCTGATCCATAGGAGAATTAGGGCAAAAAGCTTTGGCCATATATTTCTCCTTTAACCTCTTCCCATCCACCCAGTCTACATAGATGGCGGACAGTAAGCAGCACTGATGCTCTCAGTGTGAGAGCAGAGAGAAGTGATCCTGCAGTTTGTGAGTGTACTGTAGCCTGTCAGGCTGCTGGTACACTCACACACTGCAGTGCTAACTCCCCTAGTGGCCCAGTTTAGTGCCCCTGATCACTGCCCCAGAATATCAATAATAAATAATGCAGGGAGACCCTGTCACCTCAGTGTGCACAAAAACACCCCCATACACCATACCAGTGTCCTGATCACCACCATACTCCAAACCACCACCGTGATCACTGCCATACCAGCATCCTGATCACCACCATACTCCATAACAGCATCCTGGCTACTGCCATACCAAAGTCCTGACCACCGCCATACCTCATGCTAATGTCCTGATTACTGCCATTTGCCATACCAGCGTCCGGCATTTTAGGATCTCAACTGATGAATTTTCAAATAAATATCCCATAGTTTGTAGACTCCATAGCTTTCAAACATACTAAATATAAAACGGTTTTGGGTTATTTTTGGCATTTTTTCAATAACAATTCAATTACAATAACAGTAATCTCTAGAACTTACATGCTACAAGTCACTTATACCTGACTAAATATAAAACAGTGCAGCGCTAAAGATGAATATATATATACACACACACACACACACACACACACACACAACACGTGAAAACTTGCACACGGGGTACAATATAACTTAAACCGTGAATTCCCTGCGGGAATAACTTAGTGTAAATGTGACCAGTGTCCTATCCGACACTCGTGAAAACCACTCGTATAAACCATTAAATATTACATAGATAAATCAACATAATGATAAAGCCACACAAAAAGAAAAAATGAAATGTCAATATTGGTGCTCAATATAAAATGCTCATGCAAGTGCTGATATGTGTTCACTCTGTGCAAATCCTTAGTGGCCGAAGTGCCCCCTCACCTCCTTATAATCGACCCTACAGGGTCAGCTCACTCTGAGTGTTACAACACTCTGAATGATACCAGGATAATTCTCAAGTCCACTTCAACGTACTCCGATCCTTCCATACACAGCCCTGTCAGCAATATCCCCTCCGGACCATATATAAAACAGAAAACCTCCATAGTGTAAAAAACTTTTTTAATGGGGTATGTAAACAATAGAAATGCCCACTCACATGCTCCCTCACCTCTGACACTGCTCTTCTACCTCATGCTAGAGATGTACTACATGGGTGTTCAATACAGGAGTTTGAAATATGGCTCCCACGCCAGAAGTGACGTCACCGCGCACCCGGAAATGACTCCTCGCGTTGCGTCACAAGACACGTGACTTCCTCAGGGTCTGAGGAAGTCACGTGTCTCGTGACGCAACGCGTCGGTACGCGGGGAGGCATTTCCGGGTGCGTGGTGATGTCACTTCCGGCGTGGGAGCCATATTTGAAACTCCTGTATTGAATACCCATGCAGTACATCTCTAGTACATCGGCCACTAAGGATTTGCACGGAGTGAACACATATCAGCACTTGCATGAGCAATTTATATTGAGCACCAATATTGGACATTTTTTCTTTTTGTGTGGCTTTATCATTATGTTGATTTATCTATGTAATATTTAATGGTTTATATGAGTGGTTTTCATGAGTGTCGGATAGGACACTGGTCACATTTACACTAAGTTATTCCCCGTGTGCACTTGGGGGTTTCTGCATTTATTTGTGTTATATATATATATATTCATCTTTAGCGCTGCACGGTTTTATATATTTAGTCACTTCACTCATTTAGGTAAGAGGTTAGTGCCAGCAGCTTGAGTGTTAGGACCCCATTTTAGCGCAGGAGGATTTTCTGTCATTACTTATACCGGACTGCCTCCTTTACCATGACTTTAGTCTCAAACCAGTCCTGGAGAACAGTCTTTGACTTCTAACGAGTCTTCAGGTGCAGCATTGCAGTTAATATATGTGGCCCTTTAGAGATATTAGGGGCTGCATTTGAGGCCTCCTATAAATTGTAAGTGGACAAGCACTGCTCTAAAGTAAAGTTTTAAAATGTTCGGTTTTTATGTCACTTAAATTGCTTCATCTGTGATCAAACACTATGGGGGAGATTTACTACTACAACTGGAGCACTCAGAATCTGGTGCTGCTGTGCATGGTAGCTAATCAGCTTATAGCGTCAGCTTGTTCAGTTACCCCCGGTTCACATATATGCGGCCGTGCGGGCCGCGTTTTGCACGGGCACGAGAGCCCATTCATTTGAATGGACTCCCATGCTTGTGACACACAGGAAAGAAGTCCCTGCAGTTCTTTGGAAAATGCAGCCTGCACAGGAACCTCGGTTCTCAGTACGGTTGCGTTTTCCAGTGCAGACGGAATGCCATTAGAACTAATGGCACCCGCCCATGGGTCCACATTTCTCTGTGTGGGTAGTGCAGCTGCACGGATTTTTGTTCAGATCCGCAGCAGCACCACCCACACAGATGTGAACCTAGGGTAAAGCTTTGGCAATAAAACCTTGAAAGAGATTGGTTTGCACCAGATTTTGTACTCTCCAGTTTTAGTAAATAGCTCCCTGTACCTGATAGAGAAGAATGGCATTTACTAAAGGTGCTACATCTTGTGGTTGATATTCAAACATGTTTTGGAACCTCTGCTGCTATACAGGCTCCATTTTTATGTTATGCTAGAGCAGCCATTATCAGCCAGAATTCCATAGAACCTTCAGATCCCTCCAGAGGTTGCCAAGGGTTTCTTAATCAGCAAGCACTGGAAAATTAACCTCTTACTTGATAGTGCCTGCATATTTGCAAAGCAGACTTCACTCGCCATGGCCAGTAATGTGGTAACAGTGGAGCCTCTCCAGGGGCGGACTGACCACTCGGGCACTGCCCAAGGGCCTGGGGGTTGGTAGGCAGCCCCATGAGATGCCCCTGGTACCTTTCATAGACTTTTTTGGGTGTGGTTTGAATGTAGGCAAGGACACAGGTGCCCCATGATCCCCTATTGCCCGGCGGCCCCATGAGTTGTCAGTGCGCCCTGAGCCTCTCCACTGATGCAAGCGGACTTAATAGCCATTTGTAAGGCTGGCATTCATCCTACTGACCACTCAAGTAAGGGGCATTTTTTTCTCCAACTGACCATAGTAAGGAAGTCCTTTTCTACTAAACATGTATATAAGAGGGCTCCTTCCCACTAACATGAATATTATTCCTACAACTTACTGATAACACCAATGTATCATAAGCTGTAGATAAATCAATTTTAGCAGAGGTTCCCCAACACCCGAGAATTATTTCAAGGATTCTTTTGGGTTAAAAAGGTGGACACTCTTTACAATATATAAAACAAATGTGGCATTCGTCAAATGTTCACTGTGGGTGAAGCAATCATAGTTACATAGTTAGTCTGGCTGAGGGAAAAAAAAAAAAAAAAAAAAAAAAAAAAAAAAAAAAAAAAATCACACCACACGACAAAAGTCCATACAGTTCAACCACAGAAAAAAAAAAAAAAAAAAAAGTTATAAAATTCTATACCCACAGTTGATCTAGAGAAGGCAAAAAAAAAAACCCCCAGCAAAGCATGATCCAATTTTCTCTTAGATTGTAAGCTCCAAGGAGCAGGGCCCTCCTAACCCTCTTGCATTGAACTGTATTATCTTCCGTTATATTGTAAAGCACTGAGCAAACGGTTGACGCTGTATAAATACTGTATAATAATAATTTGCTCCTGCTGGAAACAAAATTCCTTCCTGATCCCCCGAGAGGCAATCAGATATTCCCTGGATCAACTTTACCTATAATTGTTAGTATCCAGTTACAGTGGGGCAAAAAAGTATTTAGTCAGCCACCAATTGTGCAAGTTCTCCCACTTAAAAAGATGAGAGAGGCCTGTAATTGGCATCATAGGTAGACCTCAACTATGAGAGAAAATGAGAAAAAAAATCCAGACAATCACATTGGCTGATTTGGAAAGAATGTATTTGCAAATTATGGTGGAAATTCCATTCTCCATGGATCAGTCGTCCTGGTCCCATTGCGGAGAAACAGCCCCAAAGCATGATGTTGTCACCCCCATGCTTCACAGTAGGTATGGTGTTCTTTGGATCCAACTCAGCATTCTCTCTCCTCCAAACACAACGAGTTGTGTTTCTACCAAACAGTTCTATTTTGGTTTCATCTGACCATATGACATTCTCCCAATCCTCTTCTTGGATCATCCAAATGCTCTCTAGCAAACTTCAGACGGGCCCGGACATGTACTGGCTTAAGCAGGGGGACACGTCTGGCACTGCAGGATCTGAGTCCCTGGTGGCGTAGTGTGTTACTGATGGTAGCCTTTGTTATTTGGTCCCAGCTCTCTGCAGGGTCATTCACTAGGTCCCCCCGTGTGGTCTTTGGATTTTTCTCACCGTTCTTGGGATCATTTTGACCCCACGGGGTGAGATCTTGCGTGGAGCCCCAGATCGAGGGAGATTATCAGTGGTCTTGTATGTCTTCCATTTTCTAATTATTGCTCCCACAGTTGATTTGTTCACGCCAAGCTGCTTGCCTGTTGCAGATTCAATCTTCCCAGCCTGGTGCAGGTCTACAATTTTGTTTCTGGTGTCCTTCGACAGCTCTTTGGTCTTCACCATAGTGGAGTTTGGAGTGTGACTGTTTGAGGTTGTGAACAGGTGTCTTTTATACTGATAACAAGTTCAAACAGGTGCCATTGATACAGGTAATGAGTGCAGGACAGAGGAGCCTCTTAAAGAAGGTGGTACAGGTCTGTGAGAGCCAGAAATCTTGCTTGTTTGTAGGTGACCAAATACTTATTTTCCACCATAATTTGCAAATAAATTCTTTCCAAATCAGCCAATGTGATTGTCTGGATTTTTTTTTCTCATTTTGTCTCTCGTTGTTGAGGTCTACCTATGATGCCAATTACAGGCCTCTCTCATCTTTTTAAGTGGGAGAACTTGCACAATTGGTGGCTGACCAAATACTTTTTTGCCCCACTGTATATTCTGTGTATCCAATTTAAAACATGCACCAGGAAGCTTATTTGCAGAAAATGTTTAGTGAATGTCACATTTACTGCTTTATAAGTATACCTATACTATGATAGATGGATCATTCCCTTTTCTGTATAAAAAAAAAATCCATCCTTTTTATCTTGTGTGCATGGAAACATAACACTGTCCAAATCAAACAAAATGCAAGGTAGACTCATGACAAGTGGTAAAGGTTGGTAATGTCTCAGTTATCAATGAGAAATCTGTCTATAGTCAGCTCATAAAGCTTTCATTACCAGTGACTTCACAAAGGATGCAATTATGGGATTTCCTGTTACATGTGTGAACCACATGAGATGTACACATTAATGTGGTCCCAAAGTATTTGGATGCAGTTACGGAGTACCCTTATTTTTGGCACACACCATAGAAGCGTGTACACAATGTAGATAATGGGTCCCACATTTGTACTTTCTAAGTCAACTGTGACAGTTCTGTGAGAATCTGTTACAAATGATAAATGTAGTTGTACAGATGTCTAGGCATCAGTGCAGTTCTGCTAGTTCCCCTAGGTCCTGTCTACATTTGTTACACGCGAGGATATGTTCAAGCTTTGTCCAGCAGTAATATACCGCTAATGAGATCTGGGCGCCTACCCTTCCCCATCACTAACAAGAGTCTTCTGCAAAGCTCTGCTACAAGACTAATCATCATTGTTACTGAACCATTCCAGAATCAGAACATTCCCAGCAGCGGGGCTGTCGCACTGCTTCTTAATTACTGAACCATTTTAAATGGAAAATGTAATTGCCTTATATACTTATTGAAGTAAAAGCAATAAGATGGTTGCGGGATTATTACTGAATCGCTTGGATGCTGGATACTTTATTAAAAGAACTACTCCAGTACTACTCTAGAAGTGCTGAAGTATATAGAGCCAAGATCGTAATGACCCATTCAAGGATTAAACTGACACTATTGTGTCACTACGCTGTATGATCACGGTGTCATTCCCATCCAACGGCATGTAAACATTGTTCAACCACAGTATTGCCACAAATAGAACCACAGCATTAGAAAAACACCATTTTTTTTTTTTTTAAACCACAAAGTGTAGCTTTGGGGTTGACAGATTTCTTACAGGCCCTGAGAAAATAGCATGCACTTCCCCTCAGCAGTCTGGGTGATAGTCTATTCTTCTTACTTAATAATAAATGTATTGAGTAAAAATAGTTCTTAATGCTTCCTTAGTTGGCAGTGGAAGATGTAATTCTAGGACTCAATTTGGTTTAGTATATCATAGGAATCATTGCTGATAAAGCACTATGGGTAAAGACAAAAATGATGTACAGTATATATCCTCAGCAATAATATCAAAAGATTAAAGCTGAACTCCAGGGAAATAACAAAACTGCTCCCTTGCATTGGAGCTGCCTCTGCACCGCAAGGTTAAATTCTTGTTTAGGCCTAGGGGACCACAAAAAGCATTTGTTTTTCCCCAATATCATTCTCCCGCAGGCTACCTTCAGGCTGTAAGGCCGGTCCCTGCCACTTCTGTATGTACCGGCATCAATAAAAGCTGAACTTTATCTGAAAAGGCAGGTTCCACTTATCTCCCCCCCCCCCTCCAATTTTTTTTTTCCCCCGGGGACCAGGTACATGGTTGAGCAGAACGGAAGTGGGAGAGGGTACCTGCAAAAACTAAGTTCACCCCCCTGCAACCTCCTGGAATACATTACAGGTCCCAGGAGGCTGCGGGACCAGAAAACACAGCAGGTCTCATGAGCAGGATGTCACAGCCAGCTTTGCACATTTAATATGGTGGAGCCCGGGACCCGAAGACCAGCAAAGAACCAGCCAGTGTGAAGACAGTGCTGGATCCCTGGGCAGGCAAATATAATTTTTTTTTTTTTTTTAAATTAAAAGTCAGCAGCACACAAAAAAAACATGCACAGGGGCTACACTTGGTCCTCCTCTGAAGAAAAAAGGACCCTGGCAGTTATTCCCCAGGGTGCAAGGCCCCTGAGAGGATCTGGGGTACTCATAGTCCATCTAGCCGTAAGCAGACCCCATTCTTCAAGGTCCACTCAAACACTAGGTGGACCCTGATCATAAGGCCATATGACCTCCTACCCCCCCAAACTTTCAGGCCTAGTCCAAGGAGCTCCACTATACAAGTCGAGAGTATAGTGTTGCGTAAAAAGTGCCAACAATGCAAAAAAAATCCAAACATTTGAAAAAAGGGAATGGGGATAAAAAGGAAAAGCGCATCAGGTGCCAGCACACAATGCATCGGCTAGCCTTCTGGCCGGTATATACATTCCTCCGATCCTGGTCAAAGGCCCAGCCCAAAAGCTAAAGGTATGAAAATTCCATGATGACACCACTCTGTTACCAGCTTCCTGATTAGACATTGAAAGAGCATCAGCAGAGTATTGAGGTTATCTTTCTGCTTACTTCCTTTTCAGCATATTTGGAAGTAGCACACCATATTGGCTCTTAGTACTGCCCCTCCCTCTCCCTGTCTAAGTGTTGATGAACAGG